ACTGATATGAAATTCTGAGCCGATACCAATATCCAGTATCAATATTGTTGTAATGACCAATAACGAATATTAGCTGAAATATATAATATACACACACACACACACACACACACACTGACATTTGGCAGATTTTATGTAGACTGAAAATTATGAAAAAATTATGCATTTCCCATGGGCTCACCATTTGTGGGAGGGGCCAAAGGGGTCAGGTGCAGTGTGTGACGGGTGGTAGTCGAGGGCGGGGACCTTGATAGTCTGACTCACCTCAATGCATGGCTCTGGCTCTGGAACCAGTTTCCTTGAGAAGGGTTGAACTTTCTACCACTCTGGAGTTGCTCCCACGGAGAGGCGCCAAGCAGGGGTGGGCATACTAGTTACCCCCCCATCTTGGTGCCTGTACGTTGGGGTTTACCCCAGTGAATGAGAGGGTAGCCTCCCTCCGCCTACGTGTGGGGGGACGGGTTCTGACTGTGGTCTGTGCTTATGCACCAAACTACAGTTCAGACTACCCACCCTTTTTGGAGACCTTGGAGTGGGTGCTAGAGAGCGCTCCTTCCGGTGACTCCCTTGTTCTGCTGGGGGACTTTAACGCTCACATGGGCAACGACAGTGAGACCTGGAGAGGTGTGGTTGGGAGGAACGACACCCCTGATCTGAATTTGAATGCTTTTTTGTTATTGGACTTCTGTGCCAGTCATGGATTGTCCATAAAGAACACCATGTTCAGAGATAAAGGTGTCCATATGTGCTCTTGGCACCAGGATACCTTAGGCCGCAGCTCGATGATCGACTTTGTTGTTGTTTCATCTGACCTGCGGCCGTATGTCTTGGTCACTCAGGTGAAGAGAGGGGCGGTGCTGTCAACTGACCATTACCTCGTGGTGAGTTGGCTCAGGTGGGGGGGTGGGGTGGGGGGGGGGGGGGGGGGTTGGGGACATCTGGCTGAGTCTCCTGTCAGAAGGAGCTTCAATTCCCTCCTCCGACAGAACTTCCAAAATATTCCGGGGGAGGCGAGGGACATTGGGTCTGAATGGACCCTGTTCCGTGCCTCCATTGATGAGGCGGCCGACCGGAGCTGCAGTCGCAGGATCGTCGGTGCCTTTCATGGTGGCAACCCCCGTGCCCGCTAGTAGACACTGGCAGTTAGGGATGCTGTCAAGCTGAAGAAAGAGTCTGCCAAGTCCTTGGACTCCGCCAAGTCTGCTCTTTGTCACCGATTCTCTTCATAACCTTTATGGACAGGATTTCTAGGTGCAGCCAAGGTGTGGAGGGCATCCGTTTTGGTGGCCTGAGGATCAGGTCTCTGCTTTTTGCAGATGATGTGGTCCTGTTGGCTTCATCAGAACATGATCTTTATTTTTCGCTGGAGCGGTTCGCCGCTGAGCGTGAAGCAGCTGGGATGAGAATCAGCTCCTGTAAATCTGAGACCATGGTATTGGTTCAGAAAAGGGTACAATGCCTTCTCCGGGTCAGGGATGAGGTCCTGCCCCAAGTGGAGGAGTTTAAGTATCTTGGGATCTTGTTCACGAGTGAGGAAATGGAGCGTGAGATCGATAGGCGGATTGGTGCTGCATCTGCAGCGATGCGGGCGTTGTACCGGTCTGTCGTGGTGAAGAGAGAGCTGAGTCAGAAGGCGAATCTCTCGATTTACCGTCAATCTACGTTCCTACCCTCACCTATAGTCATGAGTTTTGGGTAGTGACCGAAAGAGAGATCGCGGATACAAGCGGCCGAAATGAGTTTTCTCCAAAGAGTGGTTGGGCTCTCCCTTAGAGATAGGGTGAGAAGCTTCGTCATCCGGGAGGGGCTCGGAGTAGAACCGCTGCTTCTCCATGTCGAAAGGAGCCAGTTGAGATGGCTCGGGCATCTGGTAAGGATGCCTCCTGTACGCCTCCCTTGTGAGGTTTTCCGGGCACGTCCAACTGGGAGGAGGCCTAAAGGTAGACCCAGGACACGTTGGAGGGACTATGTCTCTCACATGGCCAGGGAACGCCTTGGGATTCCCCCGGAGGAGCTGGCCCAAGTGGCTGGGGAGAGGGAAGTCTGGGACTTAGGCTACTGCCCCCGCAATCCGACTCCGGATAAGCGGATGAAAATGGATGGATGGATGAAAATTATGCAAGCTGAATTTTTGATTGTCTTTCTTTATTTGTTTAAAATGCACACTATGTATACACTTCTGAGATGATAACCATCACTGTCACATGAATAGACAATTGCACATAATCGCCCCGTCACCCTCAGAAACAGATGCACAAACAAAAATGAGATGGAAAATGTATCGGTTATTCATATGGGCGCAGTTTTTGGGCTCGACACACGGGAGGCGACAAACGACCACAATCAGCGAAACTCATCACTATTGCTTTGATAAACTGACACATTGGAGGCAGCAGCGGCAAAAGCCAGCAACGTGCTCTGTTCCAGGGCAAATAGTGAGTCTTCCGTTGTTTTGATTGGACATCAGATTGGAGGGAATTTTAGGTTATTAAAGCAGGTCAGAGTTATATAATTCAATTCCATTCAATTCAGTTCAAAAATACTTTATTAATCCCAGAGGGAAATTGATTGCTGTAGTTGCTCAGAATAATAATAATGATCAAGTCATCAAAGCGTTATTGTATAGTACAATGGCTGTTGGCAGGAAGGATCTCCAGTAGCGGTCAGTGCTGCAGCAAAACTGAAGAAGCCTCTGACTGAAGACACTCTTCCATTGTCGGACAGTCTTGTGAAGAGAAGGCTCAGGGTTGACCATAATTTTCTTAATTCTCTGGAGAATCCTTCTTTGCATTATCTCCTCCAGTGGTTCCACAGTCGTCCCCAGAACAGAACCAGCCTTTTTTATTAGGCTGTTGAGCCTTTTCAGGTCCCTGCTTCTGATTCTACTACCCCAACAGACGATGGCTGAAGGGATTACACTCTCAACAACAGACTTGTAGAAGATCTGCAGCATCTTGCTACAGACATTGAAGGACCTAAGCGTTCTCAAGAAGTGCAGTCTGCTGTGCCCCTTCTTGTAAACGGCTTCGCTGTTCTTTCTCCAGTCCAGTCTGTTGTCCAGGGGAACTCCAAGGTATTTGTATTCCTCAACCACCTCCACTTCTTCTCCCATGATGGAAACGGTGTTTGACTCCACCCTGTTTCTTCTGAAGTCTGAAATCATCTCCTTTGTTGTGTTCACGTTCAAGGTCAGATGATTGTTTCCACACCATGCCACAAAGTGCTGCACCAGCTCTCTGTACTCAGCTTCCTGTCCATCTCTGATACACCCGACAACTGCAGAGTCATCTGAGTATTTCTGTAGATGACAGGTCTCTGATTTGTACTGGAAGTCTGAGGTGTACAGGGTGAAAAGGAATGGTGAGAGTACAGTCCCCTGTGGTGCTCCAATGTTACTGATCGCCTGGTTTGATGTGCAGTTCTTCAGCCTCACAAACTGTGGTCTGTTTGTCAGGTAGTCTTTAATCCAGGCGATAGTTGAGGCCCCCACTCGTGTATTCTGGAGTTTCTGGCAAAGTACATCAGGCTTGATTGTGTTAAATGCACTGGAGAAATCAAAGAACATGACCCTCACAGTGCTGCCTGCTTTGTCCAGATGACAGTGGATTGGTTGAAGCAGCTGGATGATGGCATCTTCAACTCCAACTTTATGGCGATAAGCAAACTGCAGCGGGTCCTGATATGTTCTAGTTTGCTTATTCAGGTGGACCAACAGGAATCTCTCCAGGACCTTCATGATGTGGGATGTCAGGGCAACCGGTCTGTAGTCGTCATTGACTGATGAGTGAGTTTTCTTTGGAACTGGAACAAGGTGGGATGTCTTCCACAGGACTGGAACCTTCTCCTGGGCCAGGCTGAGGTTGAAGAGGTGCCGCAGAATCCCACAGAGCTGCTCTGCACAAGCCTTCAGTACTCTGGGGCTGACACCATCTGGACCTGCAGCCTTGTTCCTGTTCAGTCTCTCCAGCTGCCTCTTCACCTGACTTCTAGAGACAGATAGGTGGGAGGGGGAGGTAAATGGGCAGCAGCATCTCCTGACTTGGTTGAAGACAGATTTATAGAACCAGAAGAGTCCATGACTGTGTTAGAGGACAAAAGAGCTCGTGTGTGACAGGAAAATGTTGGATCAGAGGAGGATGGGATGTCTGATTGGCTGGGGACAGGCGAGGAGGATGCAGGATTTTTTTTTATTCAGGTTTGTTGTTGTACTAGATAAATGTATGCATTTGTTTGGTAAACTTACCTGATGTATTAATTTCTGGCACCAACAATTTTCCGTGCTGCTGCCTTTTTGTGACGTTTTCTATATTCTTTTGTAGAAATGTTGTTAAGCTCTAGGAAATCCAACACACCAAGTATTTACTTTTCCTCCATGTTTGCCTAGAGATGTACTGAGAAGCATCCTGTTCGATCATTGGTCAGTGAATGAAGCCTCTGCTGATTGGTCCTTGTCTGAGTGACAGCGATGAAAGTTCTCAAGTTTTGGAGATCGTATGGCTCACCAGTGTGCATGTGTCATGCACAGGCACAAAATTTGCACATTTTTTGTGTCACTTAGCAGGACGGAGACCCGAGATTATCGCTTTGTTGCACATGTCTCATTGAAACTGAATAAAGAAAGGACGAAGTTGCCACGTGTCTGGCACACATTACTTATCCAACCTACTGATATGCTAATCAAAACTAACATTGGCCGATGCCAATAAAAGAAGAAGAAAATATAATTTCTATAGATGTTGGCGACGATATATCGTGCATCCCTGCATCAAGTGTTGCCTTTAGCTTTTTGGTATTTTTGTAAGTAAAAATGCAGTAAAAGCCTGAATAAAAATGATTGTTTTGAGTTTTGCGATGTTTGGATTTTAGCTGACTAATTTTGTTCAGTAAACCTATATTAAAAGGCCGACGACATGGTGCACATTATTGCTTTATTCATATCTAAATTTCTGGTCTGAATCAAGCTGGGAGTTGTTTGTTTATCTGTTCTCTTGTTTTCTCAG